CCCCCCCCCCCCCCCCCCCCCCCCCCCCCCCCCCCCCCCCCCCCCCCCCCCCCCCCCCCCCCCCCCCCCCCCCCCCCCCCCCCCCCCCCCCCCCCCCCCCCCCCCCCCCCCCCCCCCCCCCCCCCCCCCCCCCCCCCCCCCCCCCCCCCCCCCCCCCCCCCCCCCCCCCCCCCCCCCCCCCCCCCCCCCCCCCCCCCCCCCCCCCCCCCCCCCCCCCCCCCCCCCCCCCCCCCCCCCCCCCCCCCCCCCCCCCCCCCCCCCCCCCCCCCCCCCCCCCCCCCCCCCCCCCCCCCCCCCCCCCCCCCCCCCCCCCCCCCCCCCCCCCCCCCCCCCCCCCCCCCCCCCCCCCCCCCCCCCCCCCCCCCCCCCCCCCCCCCCCCCCCCCCCCCCCCCCCCCCCCCCCCCCCCCCCCCCCCCCCCCCCCCCCCCCCCCCCCCCCCCCCCCCCCCCCCCCCCTGCCACCCCCCCCCCCCCCCCCCCCCCCCCCCCCCCCCCCCCCCCCCCCCCCCCCCCCCCCCCCCCCCCCCCCCCCCCCCCCCCCCCACCATCTTGGACTCTTACGGATAGCTTTCGGTACTTTTGAGCCCTCCATCTTTCCGCAAACGCTGAACGACTACGTGAAGCCACACGTGGAATATGTGATCCAGGCCTTGCATCCCTGGCGCAAGCGCAACCTCGATGCATGTGAAGCTCCGCGACGTAGAGCGACCAAACTCGTTAGAGGATTGTTTCATCTCTCCTACCAACACAGATTGCAATCCCTGAGATTGTACAGTGGTGAATATCGACATCAGTGTGGAGACCTAATCCTGGTTTACTTACTTACGGAACAGATTAAGAGACAGATCACTAAAAGCCTACAACAGCTTCGGGCCAAGGGGTACATAACCGATGCATTGAATGACAGTGTTAGACCTTGTGGCACAAAGGTTCCGAGACTTTACGGCTTGCCAAAAATCCACAAGGCCGACATCCCGCTTCGTCCTATTCTGTTAATGGTTAACTCCCCCTACCACGCAGTTGCCCAGTGACTTGTAGGAATTCTTGAGCCGGTGAGACAACAGCTTGTGACTTACAGCCTGCGCGACCGTTTTCAGTTTGTCGAGAGCATCAAGGAGGCCAAAATTAATGAGAAAGTTATGCTCTCCTTTGATGTTGTCTCGCTTTTCACTAACGTTCCGCGTTGATCGAAACCATCGATTACATTTGCTAGCAGATAACGAAGTTGGAAATTAAGATTTGTATACAAGTGCTTGAATTGAAAAACTTATTGCTGCGGTGCACATGGAATGTGCAATTTCTATTTAATGGTAAATTTTACCGGCAAAAGGATGGTGTAGCCATGGGATCCCCCCTCGGTCCATTGTTCGCAGATATATTCATGGCCAAATTGGAGCGAAC